TGATTGTGTGCCCAGCCAGACTGCGGCATTTGTGCCCAGCCAGACTGTGGCAGTGGGGGCCGTGAACTACAGCTAGAGTGGATCAGGCCTAGATTATGACACCTACAGTTCACTTTGTTGGCTGCTGCTGCAGGAAGGCCCTCCAGCAACACCTCTTCTAACTGGGGCCAGTGTCCCCAGCTCAGCAGCACCCCTCCTGTGTGAGTCACTGAGGCATGGGAACTCTTAGTCTACCTCTGACTGTCAGGGAAGGTCTGATCTGGAAGAATGGGTTCAGATCCACCAGAATCCCAGGAATGGATGGTTTGGTGATCATCTCCCCACTAAGTGTGTGTTTAGGAACTGGTGGCAGTGAGGCAGGTGTGCAGATGTGCAGTGGGGTTACATATCCCCTGTGTATGTGTGGACATGGTGGGGCCATGTGACACTTCATGTTGGGTAGTGTCCTCTTTTCACTCTGTAGTCACCTGCTCCACTTGGCCTCCCATTTCTCCCTGCTGACTGGTGATACTTTGGACTGGTGTGGAATGATGGTGGTGTCCTTCAGGGACCTGTAGTTTTCCTATTCCTGGCAAAGTTTGATATGCTTGGGAAAGCACAATTTGAGCCTGTGATATGAAGAATGTGTGTGTGTGTGTGTGTGTGTGTGTGTGTGTGTGTAGGCTTTCTGGTGTGGTTTTTGTGTCTGTCTTTGAGAGTTGCATGTGCCTCTCTGTGTTTCTCCATGAGTTTTCCTGTGTTTGGTGTATGTCCCATCCTATGAGTGCAGAAACAGCCTTTGCATGTATCCTCATAGGCTAGGCAGGCAAAGATGTGACCTACAGTTGACATGAGTCTTCATTAGATGACTGTGCGCAGCCTAGAATTGTGCCAAGTATAGTCTGCACAAAGCTCCCTCTCACTCAATCTCAATCTCACGAGACAACTTTTCATCACCTCCATCTTTGGTTCTGAAGAGATTCACTGCTCCATTACCTCAGAACAGAGCTGCAATTGATGAAATTAAACCAAAATCTCAAATGAGATTGCAATATCAAATGAGCTCTTTAGGGCTGGGGATGTGGCTCAAGCAGTAGCGCGCTCGCCAGGGATGCGTGCGGCCCAGGTTCGATCCTCAGCACCACATACAAACAAAGATGTTGTGTCCGCCGAAAACAAAACAAAAAAAAAGATATTAAAATTCTCTCTCTTTCCCTGTTTTTTGTTTTTTTAAAAAAAAACAAAAAAAACCAAATGAGCTCTTTACCAGGAACTTTGGGTATCCTACAACTAATGCTGTTTAGCCCCATTTGTTTCCATGTTGTCCTTTTTGACACGTGGTTTGTGTTGGGAAAAGTATAAATGGCAGCCATACCCCAGAGAAAAAACCCCAACATGGCGCCTAAGCACCTCTTCTTCCTACCTTCTTCTTTTCTGCAGTGGCATGAAAAGTTCCCGCCCGTGTGAACTCTCCCGCCGGCGCCAATTTCAAATCTCGCTGGCGGGGAACCTTAGCCCCAATGAGAACTAATTCCTGGGCTCCGGAGCTGATATCTGAAAGAACTTGCCAATAAACGGGTTGCCTGCCATTTATCTAAACCCTACCATCTCCCCCTTAGTTCTATATAAGCACACTGCTTTTTGCAATAAAATTGGAATTCTCCCGGCGAAGTGTCTTTGCGTGGGGAATTCTTTCATTCTGGTGCCGTGACTCGGATACGGGTGAGCTCTTTCCAACAAGAGCCCCGTCCCCCGCTCCGCCGAGACACTCCGCCCTGGTCCGCTCTTTTCAGACTCGGCTGCCTGCACTCAACACTGATCTGGCGTGGTAAGGATCCCCTGACCCCGGCTCGCCAACTCCCTTCAGGCTATCACTGGATTTGTGACCGTGATCATCCGGCACACTCCAGACGCCCGGTGGGGAGAGGGAATCCACCCCACTAAGACCTTTACTGGTTGAAGTGGACCCTCTGGTGATCCGTTTCCCTTTGGGGCGTGAGGCTTCTGAGTTTACACGAGAGGCTCTGTGGTTTTTTCCCTCCTCCGCTGCCGCTGCCGGCTAAGAGTTGCTGTTTCCTGCGGGGCTGCTGTGTCTGGCTGAAGCTGCCTCTCTGCTTGGGGAAAACTGAACTCCCGGCCTGGAACTGTGTTCTGCCGGAGCCGGAGTTCTGTTTTCATTACTGACTTCTTCCACTGCGGTCGAAAACTTTCCTGACGTCAGGTTGCCCGTGTCTCCGACCCCATTGGGTCTCACAGATCGCACTTCACTGGTGACGACCAGGTAGTGCCCTCTGTATTTCCTCGCGACGGCTGGTCATTTTGGGGACGCCCACCTGACCCCCGTTCGCCCTGGGCTTCCTGGAAGCCGGTCCAGCCCGGGTTTTCTCTTTGTCTCTCTTGCTTACTCTTATTCTCTCTCTCTCTCTCTCTTCCATCTTTCCCTGTGACTATGGGCACCTCTTCGTCTATACCTGAAGCCTCACCTCTCAAATGTTTAATTAAAAATCTGGCCACACTCTCCCTCACACCAGACATCAAGCCCAAACTTCTAATCAAATTCTGTACCCAAGATTGGCCTACATATCCACTGGATAATGGCAATCATTGGCCTCCAGAAGGCTCCTTAGATCCAAACCTCCTCCGGGACCTT